TACTTGTATCTCTAGTTACTCTCAATTTTATACCATTGGTTCAAAGCAATAGATTCTTTGTCTGTGGCACATGGTTAAAGCACCCAGCTACTAAATGAAAGATCAGTGATTTGAACACACCAACTACTCCATGGGGCATAGATATGAGTCTGCTCCTGTTCAGATTTACAATCTTAGAAACTGTGTGGGGCAGTTCTATTTCGTCCTATAGAAAAGTCTGAACTGCATCTTAAGTGCGTCTGAACTGACTTGATGGCAAATGGTTTTGTTTTTTCTCTACCTTTCAAGTGAGCAATTTATCTAAAAATTTTAAAAAATTATTTTATTGAGGGGTTGTACAATTCCCATCACAGTCCATACATACATCCATTGTGTCAAGCACATAGGTACATTTGTTGCTCTCATCAATCTCAAAACACCCGCCTTCCACTTTAGCCCTTAATATCATTTCCCCCCGCCCTCCTCATTCCCCCCTCCCTCTCCCCCATGAACCCTTCATAATTCATAAATTATTATAGTTTTGTAAGATTTGGTAGTGGCTCTTCACTTGGTAGTGGGAGCAGCTGACATTGAAATCAATCTAAATCCTAAATATCTTGTTCACAGAAACTATCTGTATCAATGGCAGAGTGTATATGGAAGACAGAGTGGACACAATTTATAAACACTTAGTTCCTGAGCCAACTGCTTAGTGCAGCATGCACGGTATTTTTAGCTATGTAAATTCTTCTCCCCTTACAAACTGAAATGAATGCTTGTTTTAAAAAGACAGTATTTTTTCTAAATGTGATTATATTTTCACAAAGTACTATTGTGTTTTAATACAGTAATACCCAACCAGAGAATTTGATATGAAGTTTCTTTTAAGGAAAATTAAACTTAGGTATTTTATTTAAAGAAGTTTTATTTGAAGTGGATAGAAAAATATGGAGTGGCTATTGTTTTTAACTTTACTCGTCAATATGAGGTAGTGCCACAGATTTTAGGGAGAACTTTATAAGGGAAGAAAACATTGTGCAGAGTAAAAGAATAGACTTTGGAATAAGAAATTTTAGTTTCTGCCGCTCCCCCCAGAAGAATTTATTTCAGAGGACAGCACTGAATCTGCAGCTCAGGGAGAGGAACATGTCTGATCAGAGCACACGGGAGCAAATGAAGGGTGAAGAAGAGAGAGTGGAGCACATCCTGGCCCAACAAGCCTTGACGACGACGATATTCCCACAGAGAAGACACTATGGCCGGCCCCACTATGAGACACAACACCCCTCACTGATAGCCCTACAGGAAACAACACTGGAGACACAGTGTAGGAATTGCGCCCGACCTGATCCCACAACACCAAGGCAAAACACTAAGGGCGTGCAACAGAACAGCAAGGGGAACAGAGCAACAAAGTCCCCAGGGAATACCAAAAATAGACTTTGGGGCCA